TTCTTCTTCTTTTTCTTTTATAGAGTCTTTCTTGCTCTCTTTCCCTCCCTCCCTCCTTCCTTCCTTCCTTCCTTCTTCCCCTCCTTCTTCCCCTCTCGCTTTTAACCCTTCAGGCTCTGGGTGAATGCTGTGTACATTGGGGTAATTACAGTGCGCTCCAATGGCAGTGAGGGGTAAAGGCCAGTGCTGTTATCCATGTTTACAAGCTTGAGAATTGAACAAATTTTAACTCTGAATCCCTCCTTCCAGATACACACAGGGAATGTCAGACATACTGGCCCCCATCCTTGCTGAAGTTCGCAACGAGGCAGACGTTTTCTGGTGCTTCACGGGACTCATGAGCAAAACCATTTTTGTGACATCACCAAAGGATGAAGATATGGAAAAGAATTTGGTGAGTCATTGAAAGTTCAAGGAAATAGTATTAGATGAAAGGGTCTGTTTTGCAATCTCTTCATTTTCAAGCATCAATGTATAGAATAAGATAGTATATATCAAAGGTATACTTTTTTGTTCTATAGATGTAGAATAGTGCAATGATACGTCTTGTTTCCTTTCATTCTCAGAGTTACCTCCGTGAGCTGTTGCGAATAATGGTCCCACGTTTCTATAACCACATGGCTAGTCAGCAGGATGGCATGGACCTGCTCTTCTGTCACAGATGGATACTCTTGTAAGAGTTTTATGCTTTTGACTTTTTTTTTATCTTCATATGCATTTGTTTATTCCCCGCACAACATTTTTTTTCTTCATTATGGAGCATTGAGATACTATAGAACATACACAAAACAAAAGTAAACATAAATACCAGATTATGAAATTTCAAAAGCTCATTCTTATATATATGTGTGTATGCCCCCCCAAAGGTGCTTCAAGCGTGAGTTCCCCGAAGATGAGGCCTTGGCAATGTGGGAAGCTTGCTGGAGTAACTACCAGACGGACTATTTCCACCTCTTCCTTGTCGTGGCCATTGTCAGTATGTACGGCAATGGACGTGTGTAGACCAGAATCTTCGGCCAGACGAGACTCTGCTCTACTTCACTTCCCTGGCCAATCACATGGATGGCCGCATGGCTCTACAAAAGGCAAGCTTCAGGTTTGTTAGATTTTTTTTTATTATTATTAAGATATAGTTGTTGACTGTGAGAGCAGTTTAAAATGACTGCTGTAGTTTTTTGCTTATTCCATTACTAGGAAGAAAGAAAGGCGAGTATTGTCAAGTTTCAAAAAACTCATGATATTACGTGCGACTATATACTATTTTTAAGATCCAGAACAATATTTTGGTGACTCAACACTACATCATAGGTCAAAACGTTCCTATGTGCTTATCCGTACACACAAATAATAAAGTTCATGATCGGTTGTTCTCCACACAGGCTCGAGGTTTGCTCCACCAGTACAGAAGCATGAGCCATCTCCCTTGCACACTGGTTGGCCTTTGTGAGCTGTGTGGGCCGGGCATGTGGGACTCTGGGCACGTGCCGGTCGTTACTTGCGTGGGACACCCAGACGGACAAGCCATTGCCCCCTCAACCAGCCATCCTCTGACACTGATGGAAACACCTCCTCTACGACAGCATCCTGACACACCACCAGGAAGGTGCTCCATCAGTTTGTCATCTGTAAATGAGATGGAAGCTCAAAGGACGGGACGAAAGGAAGGAAGATGAGCCTGAACAGGGAATCGCCCGCTGGAGAACAGGGGGGGGGGGGGGGGGGACTACGCTAGACTATGCGGGTGACTCCTTTTAAGCCAGTTTTAATTTTTGGAATCTTTGAGTAGATCTGATAAGCATAAGTTTTGAAGACATTGGATTGATATAGGGTTTAAGTATTAGTTGAATGCAGGCCAAATGAAAACAATAAGGAAATGTATTACGGATCAGTTCATATTTCATTTGATACTCCAGCTTACAAATGCAATAAGGAAAAAAATAGATAGTTGAAACAAGCAAGTAAATATTTATTAAAAAAAAAAAAAAAATTGCCAAGAAAGTAGGAGAAAATAACACTTTTTTATGTAATGACTCTTATCATTCCTTGGAATAAATACCACTGAAATAGGAACTGGGATACGTAATAATCTATATTTACCTGTACATAAAGAAGCACTTGCTAAATGAAGCACACACCATGCCACAGGTTTGAACAGTGGTTTTCCAAGGGAGTGAACAATAATTGTTTTAGGTTTTTAGATGACTTGGCTGTGAGAATTTTTGTGATTTTTATGGTAGGTTTGCCTTCTTTCATTATGACAATATTTGATGTCTTCCTCTTGGTGTGTCACTTTGACAGTTTTGAGGAATTAATACGTTTGTGTACATTGTGCTAGTCATTTCGTCTCTGATGTTTTTGAGGAAAACAGAGGGTGATTATTTTAGAGGGAATGTTTGAGATGTGATATGATATATGATATGGTATTTTAAAGCTAGGATGTTGCAAGTCATTCCACTGTTGGTTTTTCATGCAAGATGATATATTTTGATTTTCCGCTGGTATTATTTTCTCGAGAGATATATTTTGTATAATTATTTGGTGTGTGTGACCAGTTACATGGTAAGGAGGAGGAAATATAGTAGAAGGAATTATGCTATGATTCCCATATTTTTAATTCACACTCGTACTACTTTTGTGATATGTGTGATGGTGCAGTTACCAAAAAGTAGTTCTTTGTATTGATTTGTAACTGTGGATGCTTGTGGAATCCACATTTTTTATGCTTTTCCTTTTTCTTTATTTTCATTTCTCTCTCTCTCTCTCTCTCTCTCTCTCTCTCTCTCTCTCTCTCTCTCTCTCTCTCTCTCTCTCTCTCTCTCTCTCTCTCTCTCTCTCTCTCCCCCTCTCCCTCTCTCCCCCTCTCCCTCTCTCCCTCTCTCCCTCCCTCTCTCCCTCCTTCCTTCCTTCCTTCCTTCCCTTCCTCCCTATCTCCCTCCCTCCTTCCCTCCTCTCTCTCTCTCTCTCTCTCTCTCTCTCTCTCTCTCTCTCTCTCTCTCTCTCTCTCTCTCTCTCTCTCTCTCTCCATCTCCTTCTCCCTTTCAAAACATATTTTAGAACTATACTGTCAACATTCTAGACTGTGGTCAGGAAGGATGGTGTCTTAACCCATTGACTCCAGAAGTGCATGTATAAATGGACTGTCCACTCTGGTTAACTTTATTAATTTTGTTCATACATAGAAGTGCTTAGTCACTGAGGAGCCAGTTGCTAGGCCTACTTTACCTTACCTTTTTACCCATTCCTCTAAGCATTTGAAAGAAAAGTTTGTGTTATCATTGTGGATAGTATTGTCAGTAATGGAATTATAACAATAATGATAGTATCACTAATATTATTAATGATAATTAATGTTATGGAAAAATTAGTTCCTGGGGGAGATCAGTAGGCCTAGCAATTACCTCTTTGGTGATTAAACAGTTGTGAAGCCATCTATGCATAATTAAGGTTAGAAAAGCACAACCAAAGTGAACAGTACATATATCTGGTAAGAGTGAGTTATGGAGAACTATATTGTGGGTCTCTTTGAAATCGGAGTAACTATGGTATTAAGCATTAAAAGATATGTTTAAAGCCCCTTTCAAGCAGTTGCTTTTCAATATTTTTATATCAGCTAATAGGCAGATGGCATTTTTCACAGTTTGAGATGCTGAAACTGATTTTTTTTTTTTTTTTTTTTTTTTTTTTTTTTTTTTTTTTTTTTTTTTTTTTTTTGCCTTTCTTGTTCTCGTCTCTTTAACTTCTCGAAGTTAAGTACTACAATTATTTTAAATTATGCTGAGGTACAGTTTGTGTACATAATAGCTTTTAGGACATTTTAGTAGCCAAAGTTTACTGTCATAGAATCTAGATTTTGATTCATAGATAGCACACTAGTTCTAGTCATCAACAAGACAAAAAAAAATAATAATAATAAAAATTGAATTACATTTCAGGAAAGTATTCAACTAGGCAGACATTTCTACTGTATTTAGAGCACATTTTCTGCAAGGCTGCACAGCCTCACAGCACGTCAAACGGTTGTGTAATCAGTACAAAATCCTTTTGCGAGCTTTTATCTGCTAAATGAAATAAGTGAGGAAAAAAATTATTTTTGTTATTTTTTAGACACAAAGCTCATTGATTTCTGTTGCTTGTGAATGCAGTCATCAAGATTTGGTATAATTATTTCATATGAATTCCATAGTATGTGTGTAGCTAAATTTTTTTTCCTTCATTTCCCTCTGCTTTTACTTTCTCCTCATTTTCTTTGCCAAATCTTTTTCAATAGTGATACCTGACATATTGTACTCAGAGAAAGATAATACCCAAACACATTATGTGTTGTGCTCATAAAATGTGTAAATAGGTCTCGCACCTCTATTTATAACAGTTATTATTATTATTGTGATGCATATTTCCGATTATTGCAGCTGTCATTCCTTTTATGAACTTGCTTTTGTGATATATAGTTATCTGTAGTCTCATTAGCATTATATTTATTCTTATTATTAATGTTGTTGTGATTATTATTATTATTATCTCATCATTACTATTATTATCATCTTCATTACCTCATTGATCAATATTTTTATTGTCATTATTATTATTATTATCTCCATTAGTATCATTATTCTTTATTTTATTTTTGTATTCATTATTATTTCCATTGCTTTATTGTATATCATTATATATATTTCTATCATTATGTAAACTATCATTATGATTAATTAGTTTTAACCATTACTATTATTACTATTTTATTGATGACAGTAATAGTACCAGTACTAGTAGTAGTAGTAGTAGTAGTAGGTATAGCTGAAATGATAGTATTTTTATTAGCATTATTATTTTTTCTTTAGATCATCTGTACTTTCATCATTAATATGATTATGATTTTGTAGTTTTTATCATTCATTATGATTATCATTAGTTTGATAGTTCTCTCTAGTAGTTACTAGTCACATATCATTTACCATAGGAAGATCAAGGCCCTCGATGCCGCAAACTAATAGAAGACTTGA